GTTAACAAAACAAAAGACAAGAACATCTAATCCTCTACAACAACAATCTATATAGATACACATTATACTGTTTCGTATTTCTTTAGCAAACCAACTTTTATTATTTTCTTAAACGTACACAGTGATCCTGCAGTTTTTACATCACTCCCCAAATTATTCCATAGTTTTATTCCCTGAATTAAAGTACACCGTTCCTTCAAACTAGTTCTGAATTTGGGTTTTACAAATATCTCTGTCCCTTTAAGGTTATAACAACTCTTTCTCAACAAATTTTACTTGGATGTTTAAAGGTAACGTGTTTTTGTGGGCCTTGTGGGAACTTTATACATTTTAATATAAAATTCTCCAAAACACTCTATATGTTCAAAAAGGAGATTAAGTCAAAGTTATTGGGAAAATATAAAACCATGTAATGTGTAATGTTTAAATAGGATAAAAAAAAGAGATCTGGTTGTTCAAGGTTAAGTTTGTTTGAAGTTATTCTTTTTTTTTTATTAAGAACAGATATAAGATTTTTTCTTCATTCTACACCATTCAAACCTGTTTTATTATCATTATTGTGTATACATTTCATGTCTTTGAGTTAAATAATTTAAAAAAATCTACAACCAAAAACGAGTTCAGCAAGAAATGTACATCAAATCTTAACAAGTCAAAAAGGTAATTAAAACTCCAGCAGTTCTTAAAGGAACTCTTTCCAGAGTTTTAAACTGAAATAATKTAAAAAGGGACAGTCCAATTATTTTTAAGTGATGCTCTGTTTAATAGTTATGATTAGTACCTGATCAGGCTCAACCTCAGAGAGCAGAGTGTGGAGCAACAGAAAAAAGTCTTTGTCAAGGTCAGGCTAGGTCAAAATGATAACAAACATCATAAACACAATAAGCTAAGAACTATTGATAACTTTTAGAAAGATCATCTTYGAAGATGACCAGACTGTTCTTTTAGGTGGCTCCAAGTTGTGGAYGTTTTGGTCAAACAATATGAGCAGTACCTGTCATGGTTCATTAGTACATGTTGTAAAAGACTCTCAGCTACCACCAAACCAAACTTTAGCTCAATATTTATCTAAATTCATTGGGTTGGAGGTAATTCTGTGTAAGGTCACTAAGCTTTGGCGACCAACTTGAATTGGGTTGACTATAAAAAGTGGTATCCACTCAGTAATTCACGACATATTTAACCATCAGCACCAACAAACACAGACACTCTGATGTTTCAGGTCCTGTCAGATGGAACATATGGTTTAATGTGATTATCTCACATTTAAACGGTGTCCAGAGATGACCGGGACTTTTACCTGCACTCCCYGTGAAGAAGACGTTCTTGCCGCTCAGCACTGCAGTGAGAACAGCAGCCTGCTCCTTGGTCAGTTTGCGTGCTGGCAGAGATAAGATGGGTTTCTTACTGGGGTTGGCTTTCACCTGAAATCATCAACAAACCTCTTAATAAATGTTTAAACTCCTGGGAGCTGCACACAACAAAAGACTGAATTGGAGAGTGAAGTCATTAATAATGTAGCGAAATCAGAGCTTCCCTCAGAACAGGAGAGCTTGGATGACTCAATTAAATCATACATCGCCCACAATCTGCTCTCATACCAGAGTTTTAGACAAAAGTCATCTTAGGTGGAGAAAAGATGGATCACTTTGKTCAAACTTTTAAAATAACATTCAGTGATTTRATGTAATTCCATTAGTCTGCATCAAACTTTATCTCAGCTTTTGTAAAACTGTGTTGTAGCTTTTTAGGGTTTGATCAGTTTGACAGATTATGGCAGAAATCTTGAATTGGCTTCACTTCTAAAATAGACCAGATAACAAATGATTTTGTTCAAAAAGAGCAATTAAAACCTGTTAAGTGCTTCATGAGATATTTCACTAACACTCAGTTAAAAGTTACATTTAAAGCAAAGATCTTGCACAATAAGAAACACTCAAATTGTGTTTTAATATTGATTCTCAACAAACTTTAACTTTATGATCTGCACAACTGACTGAACTATAAAGGGTTTAGGGTTTTCTGTGGCAGCCATCATAAAATKGGTTCATTATTAAAGTTATAGTGGTAGATGTACATCTAATAGTTATTTCCTAAAGGTTTCATTAAAATCTGATCAGGGGTTCATGATATATTTTGCTAACAAACAGAAAGAGTAAAAACCAAATTGTTAATAGTACTGTATTTTAAATAAAAATCTTACGGAAGAGCATTGCATCCACCAAAATAAATAAAATAAAAATTGACACCTGATC